ACTCTTTCCTACAAGTCACAACTGTCTGTGGACTGCCAAAACAGGTTCAAGCGCAGCTGGGACCTTCTCCTACTCAAGAAAAACACGCTCCTACCGGCTTCCTACCAATCCTACCGCTTCAGCACAACTACCTAATAGTTCCAAAGCCACCACAGGGATTCTAACCAATGCCGTCTCGGCCCGAATAGGCACGAATGGAGTTACTGTGCTGGAAGCAGGCCTGGCCGTTGGCGGACGTGGCCAGAGCACTCTGATAGCTGATTTCGAGCAGATGTACCTGTCCTTGCAGGAAGGCACCACGGGCACAAGAGTCTTACACGCCTCCAATAACGAGATGCCTCACCAGGGTGCTGAGTGTCACCAATTCGGCCTGAGCCTCCACAAACCGCCTTGTGATCAAAAACATGCCACTACGGGCACGGCCAGACTGCAACTGGACGCCAACACGGCCGGGCTTCGCACAGCTGGAGGTTGCTAGCACCGGCAATTGCATCCTGAACGCGCCAGAGCAAGAGATCTGGCTGCAGAATCGACTCACAGGCCAGGCGCCGCTCACAGTGGAGACGAACGGCATTGTCACCTCCGCCTGAATGGTCGTCCCATTTGCCGCCCCGGCGCGCCACCTCGCCCGCGAGGTCCTTCTTGAGGGTCTGGATGGTGCGGTCCACCGCGGTGGCGTTCCGGTCCTCGGGCCGCTTCTGGCTGCACCACCCCCTGGGGCAGGTTCGCCTCCAGGGTGCGGAACTCGTTCCCCTCGTCCGTGGTCACGACGTAGTTCCCCTCGTCCTGGACAAGGTCGGGAATCGCCTCCGCGGCCGCGCGCGCCACCGTCTCCGCGTTCTTGTTGGGCAGAGCCCTGGTTACCGCCTCCCTGGTAAAGACGTCGGTGACCACAAGGCCGTACTTCTTGGCGCTTCTTGTGTTCTGGGAGAAATCGTCAAGTCTGCTTGCAGGCGGTCGTTGGGCCCCTCGGCCGTGCTCTTTTCCGCTCCGGGGCTTCGAGGCCAGCACCTGCCTGGCCACGTCCCCCCTCAGGGCGTCCCTCGCCCGGTTCACCGTGACGGCCGGCTGGTCGGGAAACTTACGCTTCGCGATCTGGTACAGCTTCCGGGCGTCCCTCACATTGAAGTCGCTGGCCAGCGCCGCAGCAGGTCCAGCGCCGCCTCCTCAGCCATCTTTCGTGGGTTTGGCTTTTGCTTTCGGCCTCGGCTTCTCCAGCGCCTTCACCCGCGCCTGCAGCCGCTTGCAGACTCCCCAAAAGGACGGCCGTCAGCTTGCCATAGTCCAACGTCAGCAGCTCCTCGCCGCCCCCACATCGTTTTTGCCGGTGACGCCGCCGTGCTGCAGGTCCTGGGCCAGGAAGCCCAGCCGGTTCTTTTGGTCCACGTCCGCCGGTCATAGCGCTTCGGCGCGGCCCTGTCGAAGATGGCTGGAGCTCCTCCAGATCCGCGTTCCGGCGTTCTGCTTGACCTTCTTGTCCGAGAGGTCGTTCTGGCCGTAGGCCGTGGTCACGATGCCGTTCGTCTCCACTATGAGCGGCGCCTGGCCTGTGAACCGATTCTGCAGCCAGATCTCCTGG